TATTTAATTTGAAATAAATTTTCAAATCTCGAAAGAACTTTAAAAAGTATATTAAATTGTCTTAAAAAGTTTTCAAATTCTTACAACGATGCTTTGATCTTTTAAGAATCGGGTATACTGGAAGAAAGGCATAGAGGTGCTAGGGGCAAAAATCGTAAAAAAGGAAGGGAAGGTGAGTGGGTGGGTGGTGTCTTCATTTTGGCATTTTGGATTTAAAGGGGTTAAAAGGAGCGAAAGAGAGAGAGAGTATATAGAATCGAATAAAAAGCTTTTCACTCAATCGGCTTCATTGAACTCACGTGTTAATTATAGATTACACACACATTTATATGCATTTTTATGGAGTTTTTTGTTTGGTTTTTGGCGCGGGGCAGCAGAACACACAAAATGAGAATCAATTCGTATCATATTGATTAATCGTACTTCGGTCATTGGAAAAAGTTTTAAAAAATTTAGCAAAAAATTCTTTCGAATTGCGGAAGACAGAGATGGAAAGACGAGGCGACAGAGCGAGAGCGATAGAACGAGAGAGAGAGAGATATAGAGAGAGACTGGTGCTGATGGTTGAAAAGCTGCGAATTAACTTGATTCGATTTAGATTTTGAGATGTGGGAGCCATGTCTACGAATGTGGGTGCTTTTTGGGGGGCTGAGGTAGACCTCCCGTACAGAATGATTTGGCAGATTGCTTTAAGTCTTTGCTTGGCTTGATTTTGATTTGCTTTTTTTTTTTTTTTGTTTGTTGTTTACGGTTAACAAGTTTTACCTATATTCAGTTATGTTTTTTAATAATCGCTCCCAGTTTTCAGAACTGAAAATGTTTACAAAAATTATATTATCTATGGGATTAAGTAAATTATATAGAACATAAGTTGTTAATCAGGTGGAGAGAAGAAAAACGGATAGATTGACAGTCGGGGGGTGGGTATAGTTGATCGGGCTACACTCTAGTTTATATGCTAAATATCTCTAATTCTAGTTCTGATCAGTGTTCTTGTTCTGTACATAAGAATGGATTTTTTGTTAGAATGTTCAATTTTATGCTCAGAGCTGTACATTGGCGATTTACCGAATTCAGCGCCTTTCTATGCGCTTCTCATAATTTCTAGCTGGCCAGCTCATAAACACACTCTCAACTTTCGTTTTCATTTTTTTTTCTTTGGTTATACACACCAATGCAGATTGTGTTTGTGTGAGTGTGCTAGTGTTTGTGACTGTGTGAGTGTGTGTTTTTCGTTACTGTACAATAGTCGTTGAACTTCTCCTCTGCAAAATATCCCCAAAAAGAGACTTCAGTTTCATACAAATGTTACGCCCCACCAAAGATCAGTTCGAAATCGAATTGCAATACTTACGAAGCCGGCGGACTAGGCAGGGCCACCCGATGGATATTCCACGTGGCCACCGATACGGAATGCTCGTCAGCCGCATAGCATCGCCACACAGCCTGGATGAGAGTGGCCGCCGGCTGACGGCGCCGGATCATGTGCTTCTGTCGCTGCTGCTGCTGCACCTTCAAGGCGAAACCACTTCCCAGGATGCCCTGTAAAAGTTTAAGGGTTTAGCTTGGAGTGGGTTGATATTGGCAATTGACTCTTTAAGAGAGTTACTATCTATGCCATTTTAATTGCCTCTTTAGGCCTTGTTTTTTCATTATCATTAAAATGATAAGGCTAGTAACATCACATTTCAATGTCATTAGAAAAGTAGTGAAAAGTGATAAGAAAGCTAACTAACTTACCGCAGGCAGAGCGAAGAAGGAGATTCCCAGAAGAGCACAACAGGAGGCAATTAGTTTGCCTTGCCAGGTGATCGGCACCATATCTCCATAGCCCACTGTGCAGAGGGTGATCTGAAATCGGGTATATAAAGATAATACTTCAGATAGTTACCATAGTTTTGTTAGTACTCACCACTCCCCACCAGAGGGCCTGGGCGAAGTTGCTAAACTTGTCATTTACGTCCTTCTCCCACATGTAGACCAGGAATGATGCAAAGATTAGACCTAAGAACCCTATGTACATGGTTGTTATCAGCTCCTGTATAGAGGAATATAATAGAAAGGATAAATATGTGAGATAAACATGTTTGTAATAAAGTTGTCATTGGTTTTTTTATGCAGTCATAAAATGTGTCAGTTTTATTATTAAAGCGCCATTGATATCTCTATTATCTTTATGATATATAAAGTGGTTGGAAAATTGTTTTCTTGATTTTCTTAATAATTCTATAAAAGTAATAAATATCTAAATCACCTGTCTATGTGCGTATACAACCGAGCCGAGCAACTTCCAGGTGCCGCCCCGCCGATCCATGCGCACCATCCGAAGGATCTGAAAGAATCGGAGGCCACGTAAAGCACTCGTGGCGAACACCTGGCCCGAGGTGCCCATTCCTAATACTACAATTGAGGCTAAAATGGTGACAATATCTGGAAAAAAAATATCTCTTTAAGTTTTCTAAGATCCTTGAAGAAGTTAAGATAGCCTACCTATAATACAGAATGGTCGCTTCACGAACTTCATCCGACCCAGGCATCCCTGGTATCGCGATCGGCAGCCCGATGACCAAAGTCGAGCTCCGAACTCCATCGTGAACCAGATGACTACCAGGATCTCCATGCGGAACAGGATGTAGACGGCGTCGTCCTCGTACTCCTTGATGGTGGAAAACACACTGAGCGCCAGGCAGGTGAACACCATCAGGAATCTTCAAGATTAAGTGGGATTTTCGGGAATTTTATTAAAGAGAAGAAAAGTATTTGGCTCAGTGTACTTACACCATCACATGGTAGAAGATGGCATGCAGGCCGCGCGGTCGCTCCAGGAAGTTGTAGAGGCGACTCTGGAGGCGCCGGTAGCGAACATCGCGGCGGGTGCCGCGGTTGTAGTTCAGCGGCTTTCCTAGGAGTGACATTCGCGGTTGCAGGATTCGTTCCGAGTTCGGCCTGCCCGGTCTACATTTCCTGTAAACCATAAATAGCTTTTAAGTATTTTTGCATTTTAAAAATCACTTAAGATAGTATAATTGTTTTAAGTGTAGTACCCCTTGTAGCCCTTTATGTCGTAGAAGGCATAAATATCGTTATCCGGATCCATTCTGATCTCATTCCACCCAAATGAGTTCTCAGTAAAACTTGGCTAATATTTTTTTGACACTTTGGACACGTCTGGCTCGAACGACGATTGGACCGCAACTCGATCGTCGGCTGAGCTGTCGGCCGGTTAAAAAACCTTCCTTAACAACTAGACTTTCAAAACCCCATGTGTAAATTTTATTAATTATCTACATAAACAGTTTTTTTTTCGTTCGTCTGTTCGATCCACACACCTTGCATTTTTATGATAGCAGCGTAAAGTCTGCGTAGACCTCTATTTGATTTTATTTTAATATATATTGTATATATACCCTAAATACGACTATAGACCAAGTATATTGCACCTCGTCATCAACAAAGTGCCATAAAGTTTCGCGTATTTTAGCGACGTTTTCGTTTTGGTTCTCCTTCGCTGTTGTGGGCGGGTTAGGTTCGCTTTAGTCACGATCTCTCGACTTTGTCTTTGCCCAACGTGCTGCCAAATAGATCGTACGTCATTAACATTAGCCACTTGCCATAATGCCCCCACCCAGGCAACCCAAATATGGGTGAGTTTTTTGGCAATTCGTTTGGGGTGTGTTGGAAAATTACCAGCCGCTAGTGGGGGAGAGTTCTGTTCGATATGGTTTTCCAGGAGGTTTCATGCGTAGGTAGGGAAATAATATTGGGGTACTAACGGATATTATATCGAAGTGGTTAAAAGCGTCTGATCAACTATATTTTAAATCAAAAGGTAAACAGACTACTTTTCATTTTATAAATGTTAAAGATCATTGAACTTTAATGAATTGAAATCGATTATTTGGCGTCTACAATAAGAAAGTATTTAAGAAAACTTGTTTTACAAAAAATATTCTGGGGATTTAGATGGTCGAAACAAGGTATATTAGTTACTAATATTTTATAACAAAACATGGTTAAGATATCTTTTAAATGCTCTTTTCAAATGGTATTTGAAAAATATTAACTAAACCTATGAAAACAAAGAACTTTTAATCAGGAAACAAAAAAGTAGCTTCTGTAATCATTATTGATTAATGCATTTAAGATTTTACTTTTTATCGGAACAAAGAAATACTCAACAAAGAAAGAGTTATATTGGCTCATCTTTGATTTACTTAATAAATTATTTCAAATCAGATATGAATCAGTTAGAAAACCAACTATGGGTAATAGAGACAACAATTATCGTGATTTCACTGACCAGAACGCGTAGTTTCCTGATAATTGTATAAATAAATACAGCAATGTTCACAAAAATAGTAACTATAATAGATTTATTAAATATTTGTTTTCTATTTTAAAAAGATTTTTTAAATGACTAAGTAAAGACAATAATATTCTGCTGTTTTTTTTTAAAGTATTAAATGTATTATTTAATATTTAATTAAGAATTTATTAATTTGTTTGTCCTTGCAAGCAAATATTAAATTTCTAAGAGAAGAAATAATTTAAAAAAAATATATATATTTTAGTTCTTAAAGTTATACTTTCAAAGGCAAGTTATGTAGGCATATGTATTTACAAAGCCCATTACTAGTATTTTAAACGTTATTCTACTTAGTACTTGTATGCCAAATGGGCATAAAACCATCAATGTTTGTTATTACTCTGCTAATTGTATGTGGGAAGCGGGAGAGCCAGTTCTCAGGTCTCTTATTTACAGGCAACTTTTCAAAGCTCTCCGTTCGAGCGAGATAATTGCGGTGTACCGAAGTCAGTTATCGACAGCAAGATCGCGAAAGCTCTTCACTATACCCCCCCAGACCATGGTAATGTGCCTGTGTGTGCGAGTGTGTTGGGTTGTTATGATTCCATTCCATGACTCATATATATCTTATCTTCCAGCGACCCCCCCAAAAAAACGGAAAGTGCTGCCCATCATCATAAAACGCCGAGATTCGTTAAATTTTAAAATTGTTTAATGCATTCTTGCTTTTTTTTTGTTTTTTTTGTTTTGTTTTGTAATTTGTGTTTTTGTATTTAAATGTATAAGTGTGTGGCTTAGGTTAGGCAGTAATTAAAATATACGTTGTGGGTGCGCAATAATGCTCGCTTGGCCGTTTTAGTTTTAGTTTTTTGTTGTTGTCAGAACGTATTTACACAGTTGTGATTCGCTGGGGAGAACAGAACAGCGTTAACAGTAGAAGTAAAGTACGTTAAGGTTTAAATGATTCGTGTACAAGATCACAAGTTGTAGCACCAGGCGGGGGGTGGGTTTTTTGGGGGTGTTGACGAAGCACAAAGGTTCGGGGGGATAATGGGGTAATCCTCTTTAGCTACGGAAGCCTATCATTTCTTGGCATCGATGATAATCTCGTCACCCGACTGAATATTGTAGCTATACAGCTGTTTGTTGGGAAACCGCATCTCCTCCGGGCCAAACTCCTTGTAGTCCTGATCCAGATAGTAGAGACGCATCTTGTTGGGCGCCAGACCCACCAGTTTCTCCAGCTTGGCCTTCAGATCGTTGACGGTCAGGTAGATGTCCACGAATCGACTCTCGCTGACATCGTTGTAGGTGAAGAGAACCTTGACCCGTTTGTCTGGTTTCAGGTTCACATTGACCAAGGGATCCAGTTTGCCATGGATCTGCAGGAGCTCTTCGTATCGCTCTGGTCGCTCCTCCTTCGGCTTGTCCATATAGTATCTGACAAATGCTCGTTCGGAATCTACTCGCTCATCGTTGCTGATCTTCCCGCCTCCATTGAGCATCTCCACATTGGGCAGTCGGGCTATTAGAAGCTGCCTTCGTTCGTGCTCTGTGCATTCAAGGCTTTCCCACAATGGCCAGTGTTTCACTCGAAGATTACGTAGTTGTCCAAACTTGGCCAGCTGATCAATGGCCGACCAGCTGTCCAGTTGGGCGGAACTCAGGTTAAGTAGTCTAAGGCTGGGGAAGTATCTATGGGTATCGCTGCTCTCCTCCGCATGCAGCGATCTGATGGGACAATCTGCCAAGACCAGGGCCTCTAGATTGGGAAACAGCCGGCCCAGCCGACATATTTCTTGCCAATGCTCGACGGGATTACCGGTGAAATGCAGGGTCTTAAGAGCAGGATGGGCTTTGGTGATTCGCCGCTCCGTTTCCTCTGGCGTTTCCGTTTCCTGCAGTCGCTGTTCCGCCGCCTCGGCATCGATCAATACCTGCCTGTAGTTATTCAGGCTGAGATGCAATTCCTGGAGCACGGGCAGATTCTTTAGAAGGGCATCCACGCAGGCCCAATCCAGATAAGTGCCATTCAACACCAGGCTTTTCAGATTGATCGTGGGAGCCGTGGGCAACGAACTAATCGGACTGGCCAGCTGGTTCTTGCTCAGGTTGAGGAACTCGATGCGCGGCATGTGCTCCAGTATGCTGAAGACCTCCGACCAGTCGCTAAGCTTGTTCTGGGCTAAATCCAGTTCCCTCACACGCTGGCACTTCTCCCGGATGCTCTCGAAGTCCCCGGCCGAATCGATGTCACAGTCGTTGAGGACCAGCAAGGCTGGCACACTAGTCAATGGCGATAGACGGGGTATGAAGATGGAGAACTCCATGCGTCCGCCGCACTTCGTGACCGTAAAGTCATTGGGTAGGTCACTCCGTTTGTGGAGTTCCGGTTGGTGGGCATTCTCGAATTCGCATTCTGCGAAATACTTGCGCTCCAGCGCCTCCAAAAGGGAAGGCATGTCGGGATGCACTTCTCTCACGAAATAGGGGGGTATGTATATATAGGATAGGTTCAGATCCCCCTATTTAGGTACTTTTTTTATAGGGTTATTACTTATTTCGGACCCCCTATTGATTTTTCACTTTTCCTAGCTCATAGACGTTTCTTTTTTTTTTCCCCCGTTAGCCCGTTCTGTCTTGGCTATGATGCAATTTTTCAGTTTTGCGCAGTTGCAGTCTTCATTGATTTTAAACAAATTATTGCGCACGTTTCGCGTTCGTTGTATTTTGTTGGTGTTTTTTTTTTCTGTTAATTATTGCGCACTATTTTGAGTCTTTTTTTTTTGTTGATTTCGACGTGCTGCGATGTTAAAAAAAAGATCGTAACAAAGAAACCCAAAGTGCGTTGGTCTTGGCTGGTTACTTTTTTTCATATGTCAGATCTCTCCTTCGCCAGCTTAGATGCGTTTTCCCTTTGTTGTCGTTTTGTGTTTGTCGCTGCTTAACCTTTGTCGCAGTGGCCAGCTTTTCCGCTTTTCTGCTTTTCCGCAACGCTCTCCGTCCGCTCGCAATGCCACCAAACGCTCAACTAACCACCGAGAACCGCGCCAACTCCTCAGCAGTCGGTGGTGCAGTTGCCTATATTTATATATATATACATGGGTGAGTCGTGTGCTCGTGTTCGGATTCGGATTCGGATTCTGGCCTGTTTAGTGCTTTTTGTGTGTAGGTCGCTCGACATGCGCACAGGAGCGGTTCGGGCCTAATGAGGGCGTTCTCAGCGAATTTTGGACCAGCAAAACGAATTTTAAATATTTTATATGCGATAAGTTCTCGTCTGATGTAGGTCCGAAATCCGATCAGACAAGAACATATCGGTTAATTTTGGAGAAGAAAAAAACTAAAAGTCAACCACCCTGGGGGCGTACTTTGCAAGGCCCCCTATTATTCACCATTAATATTGTGAAATTGGAAATGAAAATAAATGATATCATATACCAGTGATATCAAAGAGAACGGTAAATATAACCCACAGCTCTTTGTTTATTATCAAATAATCTCATTAGTATATAAATATATAATTTATATCAAATAATAAATGGGTTTTGCAGTACTTAACACTCAACGGCTTGTACTGTATTTTAGAAACGTAATTTCTGGGGCCCAATTCCGGCCCCCATGTAAACGATTTGACAACGACCTTGCCGACAAAAATAGATTCGATGTTTCAATTACGAAATTTTGTTTAAACTAAGACGGCAGAACAAATTATTTGTTTGATTTGCTCTCGCTTAGTTTTTGGGGTTTCTGGCGCAGGCGAGAGTAGAAATAGAATTTAGAGCATAGCGGGGCGGGGGGAAATATTAAAAATAAATAAATACATTTACAATGACCTTGCCGTGTGCACTTGACAGCGGCCCTAGAATATATTTAGAAAAATTAAATAGCATTCTTTTCGACTGTCAAACTGGGCGCCCTATTTATGCGACCCCGTGGAAAGTGAGTGCGCCTCTGGCGGGCCGTCAGGAAAACCGGTTATAAAGTCAATGGTCATGGCACAGTGGATACTCATTACGGTTGACAGGTGGACAACTGTAATGGCAAGTGACAGTAGCAATTGCAAATATCATGGGGGCAGTGCAAAATAACTAAATAAATAAATTAAATAGATTGATTTAGATTCGGTGTGACCTTGCAGCTGATAAAGTGCCGTTACATGGGGGTTGCATGGGTAGCATGTCAAAGGGGTTCCACTTTACAGCTTGAAAGGTGCGCAATAGATTCGCAAGAGAGGGAAGAGAGAAGGGGATGGAAGTAACTGATTGAGAGGGGCTCAGAGAGCAAAGGAGCTCAGAGAGCTCTAATTTACAAAGCTCTCACTCTCTCACTCTCTGTATGTCTTTTACACACTCAGCTGGGCTTTGTTGTCCCACGAAAACAAAGCAAAAACAAACAGTGGGGGAGCGAGAAGAGAACAGCACTCACATGTTTGTTTGCATTACGGTGCTTTAGCAGACAACAAAAAATTACGCAGCATTTGTATACTGTAGAGCTTTGGCAGCCACCAGCTGATTGTGTTTTGGCAGTAAAGCTTTACGATTCCCCCACTTCCCCACTAGGCACCACAATTTGGGCCCCGTAAAAAAGCTTTCGCGCCATGTGCAACACCAATCAACAAACAAAGAGCAAACAGATGGCAGCGCTGTGTCCGCTCTTTTGTGCTTTTCCTTTGTCATGGGGGGCGTTGAGGTTGCAGTTGTTGTTGTAACGCCGTCGCCGTGTCGAAGGTTTTGCTATACAGTAAAGCGCAGATAAAGGGGACTGAAAAGCTTAACAAGGTGATAGCAATTTATAAACTATAAGTTGGAAATATTATTTTTTACGTTTTGAGTAAATTTTATTATATTTTTATTACACGATTTAATAATATATTATTAATATTTTAATAAAAAATATTTTTTATACAAATTATTAAAAAGAAAAAATAATATATTAAAAATATTAACATGATTTTTTTAATATTTTTTAAATTTGTATAAAATTATTTGTTAGTGTAGAAGCATCCCTTTAAGGTGTAATCCATAATCCACAAAATTTTGAAAAAATAGTTATATATATTATCCCAATTTTATAAAAAATATTAAGTATAAAAATCTGAACAAAAATCTTGTTTACACTTCCTGACATTTGAAAATCTATCAATAATCTTCAAAATTTGTTGACCACTAAAACAGCGGAATAATCAATTTTGTAATAATGATTTTGTGTTTAAAATAAAATTGGAGGTCTATCTCCTGTTGTCAGAACATAAAAAGATTGATCTTTCCGGTAAAAATTGATTTGTGATATTTAATATTTATGTTTTTATATACACTTTGCTTCCTCAATACATTCCTAGATTCCTAAATCAAAATGAACTTAAGATGTATATTAGTTCCTTATGTAGTAAACCTTTAAAATATATGTAAACCTAACAATATTCAGCTGTAAAATACAAATTTATGTTGACTGAAGTGGAAGCAATATTATTTCAAACTAGTTTTAGAAATTCAATTTCAATTTTAAATTAAATTTGTTGAATTTCTCGTTACAGAATTTCGACTGCAACAGTTTTCGGGTTCTATTTTTTTTTTTGTTATGCACGAAATCGTTCCGCATGACTGAAGACAATTTGCGAATATTTTAGTATGCAGGCAGCCATAAATATGGTTGATAGATAAAAGAGCTTGTACTTGTAAAGTGAACAGTGTACTCGTACACACATGCAGGCTAATATTCCGGATTGACAGCCAGTTGCAAATTGGTCAATGTCTGAGGAGGGTTCAATCAGGTTACAGCCATATTTCGCTTTTCATTCCTTACCTATTGTCGTTGTTTAAAAAGAGTTTCCCAAAAGCATGAGAAATGGAAAAGTCAAAAATGTTGACAGCTCTGGAAAAAAAACATACACCTGCATCACCAAGGGTTTTCAGTTTAAATGTCGTTGATATTTTCTCGAACTTTGGTAACTTTTTCTGGTGTTTTCTGATATGATATGATACTTTGTCTTTAGCCTAAATATGATTTATATAACTATTATATGCTTCATAAACTCTTAAATAGTTTCTAAAAGCATGCTTAAGTGCATTTCACCATCAAAAATCATTAAAAGCCTTGCCAAGAAGTGGACATCCACTGACCATTCCTATATTTCTCACTTTATGGGGCTCTTAACCCCAGAAGTCAATCACTTAAGTAGGCCTGAACCTGTGCCATATAGCCAAAAAGATTGGGGACTCGTGTGTGTTTGCATCTATCAAGTCATCAATTATGTCGACGACCCACATCGTACATTAGCTACATATATATATGTATGTGGCACGTTTTTTTTGTATACTTTGCAAATTTCTAGCACCCCTTAAACATTGCGTCTATATTTAACCAAAATCGTTGCGACTTTTGCGCTTAGACTTGTTGGCATTTTCACTCTCTGCTATAATAGTTCAAAAAAAGAAAATATATATATTATATACTGTTATGGTTTGTTGGGAAAGGAAGAACTGGAAATAAGTCATTTGTCAATAGAATTTTCATTTCCCCCAATGACCATAATTCTCTGGGCCACAGGTCATTTTAACCAATATCAACATCGTATATCATCTCGCATCACATATCAATGTATATTAGCTAGAATTTATTATTTGCCGATCTTATATATGCGCATTGATTTGACTTTATTGGTGGAGAGTGTGTTTTGTTGTTGTTTCTCATGAAGATGGATGCGTTTGGTGGTAATTAGGAATTTTGTTGTTGCTTTGCAGCGATATAAATATTGCTTTTATGGCCACAAAAACGCTGGCTTTTGTTTACACATGGGATCGGCACAAAGGCCTGGTATAATCCAGCCCATTGAATTTTCAAATCGATTGCGTCAATTAATGCAGAAACTCAGAAACTAAACTAGACGTTTGTGTGTATGTTTTTTTTTTTTTGCTTCTTGTGGGTCGATCGTAAAGTTTCTAAAAATTAAAATCACCAACGTCTGCCGTCTGTCGTTTAATGACTTTAAAGCGAATGGCAAATATAACCTCAGAGAAATGGCCAGCGTAAACATTGTGATATGAAAATGGCACAATTTTACCCTCGGCAGCATCTTTATTTTTCATCTTCTTTGTCTCATTCAGAGTCTAGACGGTATTTTGAATTATTGCACGATACCCAGTGTCAACAGCATCCACTTTCTGTCTCTGTCTCTGATTCTCCCTCTCTCTCTCTCTCTTTCTCTCTAGCTTGCTGGTTTGGAGTAAATGTGTCTGGTCTGCGGCTAACCTTGCGTATGAGTAATTTCATTATGATTAGCCGCCTTGTGCTGCATTTCAAATGAGGTCTGTGGGACTATTTAACGATTTTGATATATGGAGAGTTGGGTTACATACTCGAATATTAAGACTAGTAAAAATGGTTTATAAGGAGTTGTTAACTTGTATAATTTATACCAAAAGTTAATGACTTAAATGAATAAAATTTTTAACAATACTTAAATAAATATTGTTGAAGGCACATTTTTTAAGTTTACTTAATTTCATGAATGCTAAATATAAATTCTAGGCCATCGATCACCATTTTCAGCTGATCATAGCTCTGAGCAATCGCAATATTGTCATTTTGCAAAAAAGGCATCTCTAGAGATAAATATTTTGGCCTTTGCTGTTTGAGTGATATGATGTATACCACCCGTTGACACATTTTTCAGATGCCAGAACTTGGCACGTAAATTCTGGCACAAACGCAAGCAAAACGAATGGTAAAAAAAAACGAAAGTTCCCCCGATAAGAGCTAAACAAATTGTTTAAATGATTTGTTTTATTGCTATTTATGTAACCAAAAAGTATATAGTTCTTAAACACTTTAATACCTAAGATAAGAAAACTGTTTAATGCCATTTTATCGTTGTGGCTGTTATGCTGTGCTCTTCTTCACGCTTCGACTAATTTGTTTTGGACCTCGAGAGGGTGGTTATGGGGGTCTGTTCTTTGGGGTCGAGGGTGCCTGTCAACTGGCAGCGTTTATTTAATATGCGACATTTGCACTTTTCGGTCAGACCCCAGCCAGTTGCCCCTCTCCAACGGACTTGGGTTCATCGGTTACGCTATCGCCGGCGGTGTCATGTTCATGGAAGAACTCAGAGAACTGGGAGAGAACACTAGAGAGGGGCCATCGGAGGTTTTCCTGGGGAGGTGTCTCTGCGGTCTGACCCTCCAGCTGCAGCGGCGGCAGCAGCAGATTGTGTTGGCAGCGTGCAAAAAGTTCATTTTAAGCAATGCACTTTCCCTGGTCTACCAGCTATCGTGGAAATTGTGGGAGTATGAGGGAGAGGGGTTCTCTCTGGTATATATTGCT